GAAATCAGCTCCTGCTGTTGAGTTGAGATAAACTTTCTTACAAACTGGGTTGAAATGCACCACTGGTCATCGGCATTAGGAGGATTTATAATGCACTATACCTTTATTTTCTTTTTACGACTACACTTTACTGTCTGTCTTGCTTGTTTTTTTTACCATGTTTGTTTTAATTGCAGCATTTTCCATCCTTAAAAATACTAATTCTTTATTGGTATTGATTGTAAATAAAGGTTTCAGAATATAGTTTTTACTTTGATGCCACAGAGGAACAATCTGTAGTTTCTAAAAGAAGCTTTTAGCAAAACGTAATATGCTATTCTAAAAATAATATACTAATATGGTAATATACTAATATATACTAATAACTAACTAATAGTAAAGTATGATTCATTTTTATCATCAGTAAAAGGAGATCAAAAAATTATGTTTTATTAATTTTATTATGAATAAATATGAGTGACTTGATCTTGAATAATGAATTTGGATAATGTATAAGTTCATCCATGGGAATTAAACCAGTGACCTTCTGCTGCCACTTTACTTTTCATTGTCTTTATGGTTTGCATAATCACTTAGTGACATTTGCTGCTATAAAAGTGCTTTTCTTTTCAAGTGTTTTGTACAACACAATCTCACAGCAATTTGTAACTTGATTTAGTGGCTAATTCATATGAATTAATACAATCGCATTCGTAAAACTTACTTTAGTTAATGACGATTGGGTTTTGGGGTGGGGTTGGTTCCCATGCCTAATTTTTAAAATTGTACATTTTTGTATGACTGAACTCATGAATTCATACAAATTAGCCACTAAAGACAAGACATAACATAGTTGTGTTTTTCAGGCTGGTTTTGTTCTAGCTAAAGAACTCAACATAAGTGAAAGCACAGTTTTCATGTGTGTCTCTTTAAATGCAAATGAGCTTCTGCTCCCGTTCCTTTCCAGAATAGGTGAAGCCTTTACAGCTTGTGCTTCAGTTACTCCAACAACAAGAAATCCGCATGTATTTTAATGACTCGCACGTTTACAATACTGATTTATGATTTTTATAAGAATGCTGACAGTCTCCCAAAAGTCGACTTTTGAAAGTTGAAAGTTAAAGTAGAGTTAAAGTAGTTTTTTGTATTTGAATATTTTATGTATTTAAATATAAAGTATATGTACATGAAACAAATTATATATACATTTGAATATGTAACAAAATTGTTTTCTATCTGTGTACTGTATGTGTATGTATTACATTTTAAGTCTATATAATACACAGACATATATTATGTCTAAAACAAAGTTTTATTTTGGATGTCATTCATTGCAGTTAAGGCATCATAGTGGGGCAGTGGGCAGCATGGTCGCCTCACAGCAAGAAGGACGCTGGTTCGAGCCTTGGCTGGGCCAGTTGGCATTTCTTTTCGGAGTTTGCATGAGTTTCCTCTGTGTGAATGACAGTGTATGGGTGTTTTCCTGTACTGAGTTGCAGTAGGAAGGGCATCTGATGCGTAAAACATGCAGGATAAGTTGGCGGTATCTGTCTATCTATCTATCTATCTATCTATCTATCTATCTATCTATCTATCTATCTATCTATCTATCTATCTATCTATCTATCTATCTATCTATCTATCTATCTATCTATCTGTCTGTCTGTCTGTCTGTCTGTCTGTCTGTCTGTCTGTCTGTCTGTCTGTCTGTCTGTCTGTCTGTCTGTCTGTCTGTCATCTATCTGTCTGTCTGTCTGTCTGTCATCTATCTGTGTTATCTATCTATCTATCTATCTATCTATCTATCTATCTATCTATCTATCTATCTATCTATCTATCTATCTATCTATCTATCTATCTATCTATCTATCTATCTATCTATCTATCTATCTATCTATCTATCTATCTATCTATCTATCTATCTATCATCTATCTATCTATCTATCTATCTATCTATCTATCTATCTATCTATCTATCTATCTATCTATCTATCTATCTATCTATCATCTATCTATCTATCTATCTTTATATCTATCTTTCTATCTGTCTGTCTGTCTGTCTGTCATCTATCTATCTATCTATCTATCTATCTATCTATCTATCTATCTATCTATCTATCTATCTATCTATCTATCTATCTATCTATCTATCTATCTATCTATCTATCTGTCTATCTGTCTGTCTGTCTGTCTGTCTGTCTGTCTGTCTGTCTGTCTGTCTGTCTGTCTGTCTGTCTGTCTGTCTGTCTGTCTGTCTGTCTGTCTGTCTGTCTTTCTGTCTGTTTGTCTGTCTGTCTGTCTTTCTGTCTGTCTGTCTGTTATCTATCTATCTATCTATCTATCTATCTATCTATCTATCTATCTATCTATCTATCTATCTATCTATCTATCTATCTATCTATCTATCTATCTATCTATCTGTCCGTCTGTCCGTCCGTCCGTCCGTCCGTCCGTCCGTCCGTCCGTCCGTCTCTCTGTCTGTCTGTCTATCTATCTATCTGTCTATCTATCTATCTATCTATCTATCTATCTATCTATCTATCTATCTATCTATCTATCTATCTATCTATCTATCTATCTATCTATCTATCTATCTATCTATCTATCTATCTATCTATCTATCTATCTATCTATCTATCTATCTATCTATCTATCTATCTATCTATCATTTATATATTTTAATACACAGAATTGTGCCACTATGGAGTGGTGTGGCTGGAGCACCATTTCTCTCCCATTCTGGGAGTCTTCTGTCGCAAATCCAAAGCTCAAATAACAGAAGCATGTAAGAATCTTAAATGAGTTTCATTCTGATGATTTTGGCACTGTTGAATCAGCGTCAATACACGTCAGTGAAAGCACATTTAACCTCGCCTGCATATTTAATACACAAACCTGCATTTACTCGACCATATTTGTCAGGAGACAGCAAATGAAAAATGTTTGTTTTTGTCTAATCCTGTTTGTCGTTGAATTTTTCATCACATTGTGAAAACGTGCTATGCCTCCAACACGACTTTGCTTTTTCCAACTTAAGCCATTCATGCCCCAATTCACCCGCAGAGAACTCAGAGAAAACAGAACTGAAACAAATCAGTCAGAAATAATAATATCAAATGTGGACGATATTCATTTAGAGAGATATTTGAAACATTTCACTCGCTTGTCTAGTAGAGATAACCGTCTGCACATCTAAAGCATTAGTAAGCTAATAAGTAATTTTAATCATTGTGTCAATGAAGTCATCGAATACAAGTTCATAGAGTTAATTACACCCTGATGCGCTGTCATATTTTGCTCACACTATTGGTTACAGTAATGCGCTGTTGCTGTATGCCTGAGGTGCTGTGATGCTAATTTGCAGTCACATCACTTTATACATGCAGGGTGTCTAACCAGACCCTGGTAGACTGTAATTAGTCACTAGCTCCAGCACACTATATAGATTGATTCCGTGCAATTAGCTGAGACAATGTGGACCCCTACTTATTGATTCAGCTAGTAGCTTGCAATCTGTCATCTGAACGTCGTCGGCATGTGCGATGGATTCATGGGATGTGTCCTAAGTGCTTTGCTGTGGTTTATGTGGGACTTTGTTTCCAGTAAAAATCTCCGGAGTGGTCAGTTCAGTTACTGTTCAGCTTCTTAAAGTGATTTTAACTCTGTTAGAAAAGAAGAAGAATAAATACATAATGCTATTTGAGAAGCTTTCTATGGTGAAAGAAAAAATAATGTATTCAGAATAATTAAAGTTAAACATATACTCACCGGCCACTTTATTAGGTACACCTGTCTAACAGCTTGTTAAAGCAATTTTCTAATCAGCCAATCACATGGCAGGATTTCAATTCATTTATGCATGTAAACATGGTCAAGCCGATCTGCTGCGGTTTAAACCGAGCGATAGAATAGGGAAATAAAGTGATTTAAGTGTCTTTGAATATGGCATGGTTCTTGGTGCCAGACGGGCTAGTCTGGGTATTTCAGAAGCTGCTGATCTACTGGAACTTTCATGCACAACTGTGTCTAGGGTTCTAAAGGCGAAGGGTCCAACCTGGTACTAGTAAGGTGTACCTAATAAAGTGGCCGGTGAGTGTATGCTTCAAAACAGAAGGAATTGATGTCAAATGATGCAAACTATACAGATAAATTATGTTGAAAAACATAATAATAAAAATAAACAATAATTTTTATAACATAAACATATGAACATATAAATAACTTATTTTATTATTATTATTTTAATAATATTTTAATAATTATTTTATTTAAATCTTGTTTTTTTGCAGTGCTGTATTTTTTCAGTCGGTTGCTATGATAGAGAGTATCTCCATTGTACCGTTTAAGTGGAAGGTTTTTTGCCGATTATTTGTTGACAGTTGTGCGGTATTGTCCTGCCCCTCCTCTGTTGTGATTATATGGCTCTGTTAGTGAAGAAGAAAATAAATAATGCCGTTTGAGAACCTTCCTATGAAGAAATAAAAAAGAATGTCTTCGAGTAAAACATAGATAAAATATGCTCCAAAACTGATGCAATTAATGTAAAATTATAATTGTACATTAAATATAAAGTTGATTTCTATTAAAAAAAGCATAATAACGCAAAAAAACTTTGCTTTAAACACATAAATATACTTTTTTTTTAGATGTACAAAATTAGTTTGTGTTGGCCAAGATTTTAACACAGAAGAAATTATCATCTGCTTTTTTTTCAAATTGATTTTTCTTCATTATAATAGGATGTCAATCAAGATTCAAATAATTTCTGGGACCCCAAAAGAAGCAGATTTCAACCCTAAATTCATTTTTTTCCAGTATTTGAATGAGTACTTGAGAGTCTACTCATGAAATAATGAGAGTTTTTCCAATGTGTATATCTTCAACACATCATACCAAAACTGATGCAACTGATATGAAATGTCTGCAAAATTATAAAAGTACCGAAATATTCACCACACAAATGTAAACTCATAAACTTAACATGTAAACAAGCAGTCTAATATTCTTTTTGTTTTCACCAGATCCTCCTGTTGTGGATCCAGTAATGATGGATGTTCGTTCTCCAACATTTGCGACGGTCAGTCTCCGCTGTCTGATTCTCAAGTCCAATCCAAACCGAATAGTCAGCGCCTACTGGTACCGTAATGGAATACCTTTACGAAACTCTCTAGTGGACTCCCAAAATGTCCCTCAGCTCCGCTTCAAACTGGACACCACCAATAACGGCACGTATGAGTGCAGGGTGAGCAATGGAGTCGGCATCTCAAACTGCACCTTCAATGTTTCTGGTGAGTTTTTACTGGGACTTTTCTTATGCACTGTATGTTAAGAGAAATAAACCTTTAAAAAAGATAAGTATTCGGGGAGAATGATCATCATGCTATACTTACCTCTCTAATGAAAATAATGTCCATCTTGTTGCATCTGTTGTACCAGTGTTGGGTTAAAGCATTATTTTACAAGTAACACGCTACGTTAGAATATTTCTTTTCTAAATGAACTAAAGTAATGTATTACTAATAGATTTATGTGAATAACTACAAAAATCCTAAAGAACATATACAGGCAAAACTAAAGTAATACCAGTGAATGGTATTAGTGATGTCTTGTGGAGCAAAATGAGTGATCTTTGCTGGAAATATTCTTTACAACTGCAGTGGACAGTAGCAGATTCCAAAATGAGATGCATATTAAGAGTTCAACATAAGGTGGTTATTTATTCATTCTTTCATTAATTAATTAATTCATTCATTCATTCATTTTTAACCACTTTTCCGGGGCCGGGTCGCAGGGGCAGCAGTCTTAGGAGAGGACCCCAAACTTCCCTCTCCCCAGACTCTTTCTCCAGTTCCTTCAGGGGGATCCCGAGGCCTTCCCAGGCCAGCCAAGTGACATAGTCCCTCCAGCGTGTCCTGGGTCTTCCCTGAGGCCTCCTAATGGTGGGACATGCTTGGAACACCTCTCTAGGTAGGCGTCCAGGAGGCATCCGAAACAGATGCCTGAGCCACCTCAGCTGACTTTTCTTGATGTGGAGGAGTAAGGGCTCTACTCCGAGCTCCTCTCGGGTGACAGAGCTCCTCACCCTGTCCATAAGGGTGCACCCTGCCATCGTGTGAAGGAAACTCATTTTAGCTGCTCTAATCCGAGATCTTGTTCTTTCGGTAATTACCTAAAGCTCATGACCATAGGTGAGAGTAGGAACGTAGATTGACCGGTAAATCGAGAGCTTTGTTCTTTCTTTACCAAAATAGACTGCTACATCGACCGCATTACTGCTGCCGCTAAACCAGTCCGCCTGTCAATCTCACATTCCATCCTTCTCTTACTCGTGAACAAAACCTCAAGGTACTTGAACTCCTTCACCTGGTGTAAGGACTTTCCTCCAACCTGGAGATGCAAACCCCCTTTTTTCTGGTGTAGCACTATAGACTCAGATTTGGAGGTGCTGATTCTCATCCCAGCTGCGTCACACTTGGCAGCAAACCGCCCCAGAGCGTGTAAATATAAATATTTTAAATATAAGCATTGCAATGATAAGCAAATGGTCTGTTTGTATCAGACGCAACATGACAGAAGTTATATACAGCCATTCAGAAGCACAGAATAGTGCACTCACTGCACTCCAGCGAAATGGTAAGATTTGCATTCTAATTAATACATTAAACCTCTTTTACATTATTAAATGTACATGCTGAATAACTGATATGTGTTGGCTTGCACTAAGTCACAGTTCTAAAGTTCCATTTCAAGCAATTTATTTTATTTTCAAGAACTGAGGTGAACTATCTGCTGCTGCTTTCAGTAGTGTGGCAATAAATGTCATGTAAAACGGCATTCAAACTCCCATTATAAGCATTTAACACTGAATAAAGCACATGAGGTGTACCTGAGGTGATCATTGTCAGCTTTCCGTTGTTCAGCTGCAAGAAATAGATGCAGTTTCTAAAATATAAATTTCATCTTTTGATTAGGACAAAAACTCATTTTAATATGTAAAATATTCCCTCTATCCTGTGCTTTTATTTAGAACATGATTTATAAGTCTTTGATGGTGTATTTAATCTGGCAACCTGGGGTCTGTTCTTCGTACATGGATTACCTAGTTAGCTGAATTGGGTTTTTGACAATTTGACATGATCCAGGATCATTTTTTTCTTCAAAACTCATCCAAGAGTTGTTGTCATAGCAACAGTTCTGGTAGCTCAAACCTGCTCGGGAGCAGGCTCATTTCATATAAACAGGATTAGATTGACTCAGTTCAAGCAAAGATAATACTGAACGTATGTACAGAATTCTGATATTTTCTTACGGTAGTAGTTATATACACTTAGGAAAATAGTAAATATATATTTGTAACTATATATATATATATATAAGTTATTAAGTTATTATATATATATAAGTTATTAATAAAACGTATGCTATCTGCACTCTAATAAAAGTACAAAGACTGCCACCTGGTGGTTCAAAAAGAACATTCATTGATTTGAACTTTTTAGATCGCTTTAGTACAATTTGTGTGTAATAGTCATGCACAATATGCGATTTAAAAAAAAAAGCAAAAATACATATGCAGTCATGAACATGTTTTGACAGCTATTATGACGGTGATTTGATGCTTCACAAAAGTTGCAGACACCTTTAACACTATCAAAACGCTTTTGTAAACATCCAGTTATGCTTTACACCGATTAAGAAACCGGCTCCTATAATACTACTATGGCTACTATAGTAAAGAGAATCCTCTCTAACTGTAAAACTAAATAAATAGCTAAATGCTCTTGACACATGAAAGGGTAAAGCCTGCAGCCCACAACAAAAGTGAAAAGTTATTGCATGTCATATTTAACAAAACGTTTCTTGCCAGCAGCCAATCGTTTCATTGCTGATCATGATTTCGAGGATCGATACATCTGTCCTTCACAACACACGCAGCAATATCAGATCAGTTCATTCAGACATTTTAATCTGAAAAATGTAAGAAAGCAGCATTTCCCGCTTGTACTTGGATAACTAGAAAAATAACTAGAAAACATTGCTTCATATTAACTTATACAGCATAACTTGATCATTTTTATAATTAACCTATTACAGTAAATACAGAAACAGTCTCATTTATAACAGAATGGAGTAACACTAGTTTTTGCCTTGATTTGCTCACTGATGTCTTCTGCATAGTCCACTATCCATCGAGTGACATTGATTACATTTTTAATAATCAGGTGGCGTAGTGGGTAGCATGATCGCTTCACAGCAAGAAGGTCACTGGTTCTAGTCCCAGCTGGGTCAGTTGGCATTTCTGTTTGGAGTTTGCATGTTCTCTCCATGTTTGCGTAGGTTTCCTCTGGGTGTTTCCTCCACAAGTCCAAAAACACGTGGTATAGGTAAACTGGGTAGGCTAAATTGTCTGTAGTCTATGTGTGTAAATGAATGTGTATGGATGTTTCCCAGTGATGGGTTGCACCTGGAAGGGCATCCGCTGCGTAAAACATATGCTGGATAAGTTGGCGGTTCATTGGGCTGTGGCAACTCCGGATTAATAAAGGGACTAAGCCGAAAAGAAAATGAATGAATGAATGAGCTGACAGATTAGCTGATAGACGTTGTTTTCAAACACTGGCAGAACATCTGAATAAGTTTAAATGGAATGCTTTAAACCCTTGGGTTGTAAATTACACTGTTGTGTTGTCACTGTTGCATTCTGGGACAAAAAGGTTCTGCAATGGACATATGAAGCAGACTCTGTCAAAATTGAGGCATCAAGGGTATGTCCAAGTAAGCTTCCCTCGTTCACTTAATGAAGTGGAACACACTTCAAAATGATGTCGGGGGTTCCCCCGATGGAGCAAGTGAAGGTAAGTTTGGGAGTATGTGTCTAAACATGTTACACAGCCTCAGTCTAAGCACTTTTAGAGGAGTGTGAAACTAAGATAGGGCATCACTGTGGCACAATGGGTAGCACGATCGCTTCACAGCAAGAAAGTCGCTGGTTTGAGCCTTGGCTAGGTCAGTTGGCATTTCTGTGTGGAGTGTGCATGTTCTGCCTGTGTTCGCGTGGGTTTCCTCCAGGTGCTCTGGCTTCCCCCACAGTCCAAAGACATGCGGTATTGGCGAATTGGGTAAGCCAAATTGTCTATAGTGTATGTGTGTGAATAAGTCTGTATGGATGTTTCCCAGAGATGGGTTTCGGCTGGAAAGGCATCAGCTGTTTAAAATATATGCTGGATAAATTGGAGGTTCATTTCACTGTGGCGACTCCACATTAATAAAGGGATTAAGCTGAATAGAAAACGATTGAATGAATGAAACCTGGATCATTGTAGCCAATCACAGTCTTATCTGTTGAGCATGTGACCACAATGGCCAATCAGTGGCGTTTAAAAATTGCTGATCAGCATCAAAATGGAGGTTTTTAGGAAGTTAGAACTGTTGGAAATGTGTTTTGATAAATTGCAGTGCAATGCATTTTATTAATTAGGGTTTTTATCGTAATTTCATGTTCACTGTTCATATACACTCATTAAACTGATTGATCATATTTCTGTTTCTCAAAAAGTAGATTATTTCACTAGGTTATGGGTTCAAATCCCTGTAAAGCAGTAACTGAGTAAATGTGCACCTCACTATGGATAATAATATCTGCCAAATCGATCAATTTAAATGATCCACTGATGGGACTCAGATGAGCGATTTGTTCATAGATAACGACAACTGAACATCTTGGACAAACTAAAGACCATAAATGCACAAATTAAACCATATAAAACAGCTAAAACTGGCTCAAACTGTGTCCTCCATCTGGAGCTGGATGATTAGCTCTGCAAGCCTTTCTGGAAAAGTGAATAGCATTAAAATAAAAAATGAGCCCGAGAAACGTCTGTCACTCACTCTTTACAGTTGAGCCGCCAGCTTTGTTAGCTTCTTCGGTAGTTGATGATGTAGAGATCTGCCAAGAAAGGCCAGACGGTGATGTGGCAGTATACTGTACACTTCCAAAAGGCCCAGGTGTTTCTGTTCTCTCTGTGGGGGGAAGAAAATTGGCTGCTGTTTTAGAGACTTGTAGGGTTTTTCCTGCTCAGTAGGGTCTTATCCAGGCTTTGCCAACACATCATGACAGCTGAGCGGTGCAAATGCTATCAGCTTTTTTTTCGGCACACGTTAAAGTGACTGCTGCTATACAGTATACAGCAGATTTCTGTAATATTGCACAATAAATTGTTGTGACTTTTAGCATGGAGCTGTCTTTATGATTATTAAGAAACATATTTATGCAAAAATGTAGCTTGGT